CTCCTCGGACGACTCATCATTCTGCTGTCCTACGGATTCTCCGGTACGTCAAAGGTACCCTGCTTCATGGACTTCATTATTCCGCTCGATCCTCCTTAGTTTTGACCGGGTATTCTGACGCTGATTGGGCGGGAGATCCCTCTGATCGCCGCTCGACCACCGGGTTTTGCTTCTTCCTTGGCGACTCGCTTATTTCATGGCGCAGCAAGAAACAGACGGTTGTCTCCCGGTCCAGTGCAGAGTCTGAATATAGAGCCCTTGCCGATACCGCTGCTGAGCTTCTATGGCTTCGCTGGCTTTTGGCTGATCTTGGAGTGCCTCAGCCCTCTGCCACTATTATCCATTGCGACAGTCAGAGCGCCATGAAGATTTCGACAAATGATGTCTTCCACGAGCGTACGAAGCATATTGAGATCGACTGTCACCTTGTACGTCATCACGTTGCTCATGGAAGCATCTCCTTGTCTCCTATTTCCTCTGCTGATCAGACGGCCGACGGATTCACCAAACCTCACCTTCCCGGCCGTTTTCAGTCATTTTTGAACAAACTCAAGTTGGGCTCCACCGTTCCACCTTGAGTTTGAGGGGGGATGTTGATATATATATAGTATATATATATATTTTATATATTGATATATATATTCTACCTAATATATCTCTTGTATAAATATAATATTGTACCCTAATTGTGTTCAATGAAAATAGAGTTTATTCCATAAATCGTAACAATTATGTTATGTAGATAGTATAATTACTAGATTATAAAATAATATTTTTTTCCGAAAGGACAAAAATAAAAAATGATATTGTTGTTATGGAACCGAGAGTACTATAATTCTTTATATTTCAATTAGAAGCGTGGAGCGGTTGTTTATTAGTAAACACGTGGAAAACATGGATGTGGGGTGGGTCAATGGTAAACACGTAGGGTAGAGTAGGTCAAAATACAAATGTGTGTTGACTACGGTCAAACCTCGTCTATTTCTTCGAAACCCAATTTGTTGAAACAACTTATTATTATATACGACAAACCCATGCACGCACGCACGTTTCCCTTCCCTTATTACTCCCTCCGTTCCGAATATTTTGTCCGGCGTTACTGTAGCCACGAGAATTTCGCATAGATATAATTAGTTAATAATTAAAAATATATTAATAAAAATAATTATCGTATAATAAAATAATTATAGATTAAGATTAAAACAATTGATTAGTATAATTAAAATTATAAAAATTATAAAATAAATTTTTAAAAATAAGATTAAAGTGTATAATTATTTTTCAAAAAAAAAAGTGACAAAATAAGTAGATAAACGGAAATGGAAAAATGAACATGATAAGTGGGACGAAGGAGTATTATTACTATTATTATTATTATATTTTGCTTTTTTCATTTGATTATTAGCTTATAGGTAAAATTAATTGCTTAGAGTAAAAAATAAATAAATATTAGATGTGATATATTCTCTAAAATGACAGCAATAAATTGAGTAGTACAAAATTCTACGGAAAAAACAAAAATGAACAACATTCTAAGCTAAAATCTAAATTTGTCCTTGTAATTATGATTTTGTTACTTTCTCCGATCGCCAAATTTATTTTTATTTTTTTTAATTTGTTTATTAAATTTATTTTATTAATAATTTTGGTAAAGTTAACAAATTAATATATAATTATTATCCACTATTCAACATTTATTTACAACAAATCCTATTAACTTTATTACATTATTTCTCATCATTTATTTTACTTTTAACTAAATTTTCAAAAATACCTTCAAATACCTATCACTTTTTAAATAAAATATTTATTTTTTTAATTTTCGTGTCGAACCTAAATGAACTAATTTTAAGGGATAAAAAGAGTATTTTGATTATATAAATAAATAAATATAATCATATACTTTATTATTATTCTAATAGAAGAACTACGGACATGTCATAAATTATATATATAATCATATACTTTATAAATCTAAAGCTATATATTAAATTCTTATTAATATTATACAACATATATCAGTAATATATATTAAGATAATATATATAAATACATTTAATTTATTCAAAAAATTAATATTTTCATATAAAATATTATTTTTTATATTACTGATACGACTTCTTAACTATAATAATAAAAAAAATTCATTCAGAAAATACAAAATTAACATACTATGTTTCCATGTATTAATATTCATAGAGTTGGATTGTTTTCTGATTTCTGCTGATTAGGGAAAATTTATTATATACAATTATATTAATTATATAATTTATAAAATATATTAACTTAATTATTTTTTGCATTAATCAGTATGGTGTTGATTAAGTATAGGATTTTTATTATTATTATTTTTTTTGGTTATATATAGTTCATTTAGTATTGTAATTGTTTTGACGTAATTTTTAAGGGTTCGCCTATTATTAAATAATAGGTCATTCCTATTAATTTACTAAAAAGAATATTACTACAAATATTCATTTTAATTGTTCAAATATAATTATTTTAAGTCTATCATTTTTTTATATCCAAAAAGAAAAAATTAAATGAGAAAGATTAATCAAAATTTCAACTATTTGTATATATTTAATTTTAATCATATTATATATTTTCAAAATATATACTTCATCGATCACAATTCAATATACCAATTTGTTTTTTAGTAGTAAATTAATAAATAATAGTATTTTATTAATTAATTGAAAAGTATAATTAAAATAATTTGACATTTTTGCTATTAAAAGTATAGAAAAAATTTCTCTATTCGTCTCTAAGGTCACATTTACATTTTGCATCATTGTATTTCTAAAATTACATATTGTAATAATTAATATTAAAGTTCGTATAGAGTAGACAACTCGTAGTAATAATCTACGCAGCAGGGCGGTGCTCCATGTGGGCAATGCCTTGCCCTTCTATTTATTTGATTACTGTTTATTTATTTTTATTAAAAATTAGGATTTGTTTGATTTTAGTTTCAAATTAGAATTATTGATATTCAATTTGTATATATATTTTTAAAAAAATTATTATTTTTTATTATAAAGTATTATATTAAATTATTGTTTAAGATTTAAAAAATAAAATAAAATAAAATTATAAAACTAAAATTAAAATTAAAATCAAAACAAAAACAAAAACAAACCAAACCCATAATAGTAAAAATGAGACAATTTTAATGATTTTTTTAAAAATGAAAATTTTCTTCTAAAGAAAATTGTACTATCAAACTATTACAAATAATACAAAGATAAATATTTGTATATATTTGCTACTAATATAATTTGCTATTTATCAATATTTTCAAAGATATGTATTAAGGTGGTGAATAATATCATTTAGCATCCTACTAAAAAACACATCAAATTAATATACATGGTAGCCTATAGCAAAAAAATAAACAACATACAATACATGTCATTATTGATCAAAATATGGATATGATATATATACTAACGACGCAATATAATACATAAGTGACAACATATGCTAATGATATACACAATATATGTTGTTTCAGAGCAACAACTGTATTATGTAAATATATAATTAAAATATATTGATGGAGGCTAATCAGATATTGATTAGCTCCAATCAGCACCATAATATGCCCGGTCACTAAAATATAGAACTCATACAATACAATAGTCTGAAAATAATAATAATAATACTCCCTCCGTCCCAGATACCGTGTCTGCTACACTGTAGATACGGTATTTTAGGAGGTGTGTAATTAGTAGATAATTAAGAATGTATTAGTGAAAATAATTATCCTATAATATAAATAATTATAAATTAAGATTAAGATAACTAATTAGTTTAATTAAAATTTTAAAAAAATTAAAAAATTTAAAATGAGATTAAAGTGTGTAGTTATTTTTCGAAAAAGGAAAGTGACATAGTATGTGAGACGGACAGAAACGGCAACGTGGACATGGTATTTGGGACGGAGGGAGTAATAAATATGTATAAATAAATTGTATTATGTTAAAAGTTTGAAAAATTAATCCTCCATTAATTAGATTTTGATTTTGCATATGCAATACCATATATGTTGTATTAATTCACAATCCATCCACATATAGCATATGTTAGATAAAGTAAACGATTGTCTCACCTAAAAGTTTAACTTTTTAAGATATGCGTCATTTATTTATTTATTTAAAAACAGAAGTCCATCAAAAACTTATACTACCTCTGTCCCGCTCTAGGGTCTCATTTATTTTTTTCGTATTGATCTTTGAATATTAATTATTATATCTAAACATAGTAAAAATTAAGAAAAAATTACAAAAATACTTTCATGAGTGTCTTGTAATACTAACAGAAGCACATTTGTAATATATATATATATATAAATATTTTTAATGTTAAATACGATGACGAAAAAATGTAAATATGACCTTAGAGACAGATGGAGAGAGTATTTCATCTGTGATTAGACTAATTATTAGCCCCCTAATAAGATGTATTGAACGAGTGAAACTACAGTTAGCAGAAGTTGTTTTAACATATAAGATCAGTGACGAATCTATATTGGGACTTGGGGGTCAACTGACTCTTCAAACCTTTCTCAATTTTTTTAAGTATAATTTTTTTCTAATTTTTTATTTAGTAATCAAATTTGTCCCTCAATTTGGGATTAATATTCTACATAAACCTCCATTTTATTATTATTTTAATTTATAATAATATATAATATTTTAATTTATAAATTTATTATTAAAAAATAAAATATTTTATCTTAAATATTGTTTCGTTCATTTTTTTTCTTCTTCACAACTGCATTATTTTGTTAATAAAAATTGAAAAAGTTAAGATAACATCAAGTTGGTAAAAATGAGTCGATGAGAAAGTTCTTATATTATTTTTTGTACATACAGAAACAGTCGAATGTCTGTTTCAAATAAAAAACAGGCTCGAAATATGTTGAAACTAAAAATAAACGGTAAAAAAAAAATGAAACAAATAAATATAACAATTTTGTCCCTCCCCCGGAGCCGCAAAACTGGTTCCGTCACTCTATAAGATCAAATCCTACCTTCAGCATAAATTTGTAAAAACGACTTTCGATTATTATCCAGCAAAGGTTAACTTTTATACTCCAGCTAACAATGATAGTAGAATAAATTAAGTAGCAGATTCGATAACTATACATTACTGCAAACATTGTAGCCTAATCATATATTATTGCAATTTTTATTTAACAGTAACACCACACCAAGCCTATATAGCACATAGAGACCATATATACATACTGCTTATTTCATCATGAAAGATTCGATGATCGTAGGAGCTTGCTGCTGCTGCAGATAATAATAATTGTAATAATCATCGTCGTCTCCAAATGGGTAATAATTAGATGTGAAACTTGGTTGGGTGTCGACAATCTCTGCACCATAATTGCAGGTTGAAGAGCAATTGGATTCTTTGTTGAGCATCATCAATTCTTGGCAGACCAGACTCAAGTCATCGAGTTCTTCATCTGACAACGGGAGTATCACTGCATCATCATCGTCTGAAATTAATGGATGGACCTGACTGCAATTGTAATCGTTGTTGTCCCGATTTTGAGGAAGATCAGGAGAAGGCTGTCCGATCACATGACTTATAATAATCTGGTCATCATCTGAAGCTTTTTTGTGATGATCAGATGTTGTTTGGATCATGCACAAATTTGAATCTGGAGTCGTTTCTTCTTGCGATGACGACGATCGATGGTCGCCATTAGCATCAAAAGAAGTATATTTGATGCGCTTCTTTAAGTGGGCGTGCCAGTGATTCTTGATCTCGTTGTCGGTCCTTCCCTCGAGCTTTGCTGCAATGGCGGCCCACCTGAGATCATCAATAAATAATTAATATCGATCTATATATATTATTGAATTGCAGCAGCAGAATCATAAATTGATGGATGAGAGGGAATGAATGAATGAGTACTTGTTTCCAAGCTGGGCGTGTAAATGGAGGATGAGATGTTCTTCCTGCTTTGTAAAGTTTCCCCGGCGGAGGCCAGGTTTGAGGTAATTCATCCAGCGTAGCCTGCAGCTCTTCCCGCATCGAGCTAGACCTGCACCACATCCATATCCATATCCATGGATTCAGCAATTAGGGTTTCTTAGCCCTAGGGCTTACTAATAAATAATTAAAAAATATATGGATAGATAGGGTTTCAGGCAGGCATAGAGTACCGGCGAGAATGGGGAGGCGGCGCCAGTTGCGGTGGCCATGGGCGAGGATGTGAGCTCTTAATTTGGCGTCCTCATCTTCACTCCACGCACCCTTCTTCATTCCGCTTGCCTTGTCATACCAACCAGGCCTCACCATCGTCGTCGATCTTAATTATATTAACTATACCCACACCCTACTGTTTAGTATATGCATATAATTATAACTAACTATATATATATATATATTCTCATATATCACCACCAGCGAATGCAGTGGAGGAGTGAGAGACGACACAGCAGACACCAGCTAAGCTATATTATATATATATATATATATATACGATGATGATGATGATGAGGTGGAGATAGGTAGCTAGCTAGGTAACGACGACAAAATAATAATCCTGAAACCGTGTTTAATTCAAGTAGCCAAGCCAGCCAGACCAGAGTGGAGAGCTTATATAGAAACGCGACAACTAATATATATATTCATACATACAATTATACAGTTACAGAGAGAGAGAGACAGAGAGAGAGAGAGATGGTACTGGATTGATGGGTGGGTGATAAGGAGATGAGAGCATAGAAAAGACACTATACTATTGTCTTTGGGTTATAATTAGGAAACTTCCAGGGCAGGGCAGGGAAGTCAATTCAACTCCATAGTAGTCTCTTTCTCTTTCTCTTTCTCTTTGGACTTGGACTTGGACTTGATGAGGAACCTCCTCACTACGTACTTACATGCAATACATGTAACATGGATGCTCTCACGAATTTTCCCTTTTCTTTTATTTATTTTATTTTATTTTATTTGTTACATACAAAAAACACATAAGACGCACATACACACGTGTTTTCACACTTTAATCTATATTATTAATTAATTCACTATTTACAATTAATACACGATTAGTTACGCAACTTAATTTATTAATTCATTGCAGTCTACTACAAATTGCGTTTGTCCCTAGCTGGTTTTTTATTTTTTATTTTTTAATATTCTAAAGTAAAATAATTGTTTAAATGTGATGCTTTATACAAAAACATAAGTATCGAACATGATATATTTTTTAAAAAATAATAAATAAAAATAAAAATGAACAAAAAATTGAATCTAAACCACAAATCTCAAAATGGAGGTACCTTTTTCTTTGTTTTTTCCACTTAGAAAAAGCCAAGCATTTAAAGATTATTTCAGAAAGGAGCAAGAAATTAAAAATAAGATAAAATAAATTAACGAGTTTTTGTGCGTGTAGACTTGCTAGAATTATATACATACATATATATATAGCTTTATTGTTTCGGTTTTTAAACTTTTCATTTGAATTCAAAAGTAGTTAGAACGTTGCTGTGCATTATTATTATTATTATTTTATTATTTTTATATATTTTATTGTAAATGTAAACACATTTACGCAATACTTTCATATAATATTTAATATTCTCCGTAATAAAATATTATATTAACTTATTATTAATAATTTAATAATCTATCTTATCTAAAATATTATATTTTTAATAAAAACGCTCCATTTTTCTTGGGGACGTACGGAGTATTCAATTTTGTTCACCGGGCCCCGCATCTTTTAAGGAGTTATTTTCTTATAAATTTAGGTGTGTTTGTTCGGGGAATTGGATTAGATTTTCGTTGTTCATCTCATTTTTTTTCGTAAAAATATCAAATCAAACACCTATTTTTTATTTCTATATTATATTAAAAATTAATTTTACATTCAAAACATCACATCAACACCTATTTATATCACATTGTACAACTATTCAAATTCAAATTTTTTACTGTTCAAATCCCAACTCAAAATCCAAACCCCCAAACAAACACACACTAAAAGCATTCCTTCATTAATTGCTCCATGCTGTTAATGTTTTGAATGGGTCTTAATTAATCTCTTGATTTATTTCCAAGTACTAATGCTCCCAACGTTCCAATTAAAACATACTGTATGCATGCTCAACTTACATTTAATTAGTAAATAATTAAAAAATATATTAATAAAAATCATTATTATATAATTAAATAATTTAATTAAAATTTAAAAAAATATATATAAATTATAAAATTTAAAATACAATTATAATCCAAAAATAATAATAATATATTATATAAAAAAATAAAAGGAAAAGAATAAAATTTAAGAGAAAAGAAAGATTTACTATACTAATCTATTTATAATCATTTCAACGGGTAATCAATCAATCAATCAATCAATCAACAAAATTCTGTCACATTTCAACTTTAGTTGATTACTTTTAAATGAATGGGAAAGAGTAACAAAGTGAGCCTCACTGAAATTTCAACACAATATGCATTTGATAATATATATATATATATATATGTTTAACAAGTCTTTTTATAGTATTATTTTATACAATGACCCTTGAATTTCTGAAAAAAATTTCTATTAGTCCGCAATTATTAAGATAAATAAATATTTTATTTAAAAAGTAAAAAAAAAAATAGTTGTGATATTTTGAAAAATTTAATTAATAATTAAAAAAATAAGAAAAAAATATAATAAAAATCATAGTAAATAAGTATTGAATTAAAAATAATAATAAAAACCTTGAATATTTGACTTTGGTAAGACAAATTTAAAGAAAAGTTAAAAAATAAATTTGGTAGACGAAACGAGTAATATCTATAACTAAGGGTAATACTTATTACATATGTAAGGGTGACTATATACAACCATTAGGCATGGAAATGCAAGACATATTTTCCACATCTAATATTTTATTTAAATAATCACAGTTATATATATATATAAATATATATTTATATATCACGAACTAAAAAAATAAAAAAACACTAATACGTATGTATATATAGACTAAATTGACTTTAATAGTTTAATTCAATCAGTCTATTTAATTTGTGAAAATTGATTAGTAAATCAGTACCAATTTCTTTATCCTATTGTGTCGTCTTTTTGTAGCTAATAATGTGTGTGTAATCAAGTGAAGAGGATCATGTCTGGCTGCAAAAATTGACATAAATCCATGGAGAGTTCATATTACATATTCTTATATTCAAAATCTAAAATTTTGTTATAAGGTCTTTATCATGAAATTAATATAGAGTCATGCATCCATGAATGGACTAATAGCATATATAGAATTAATCTTATTTTGTATATATATATATATATATTTTTTTTAAAAAAAAAAAAGAAAAATAGTTGGAATTACCATGATCATATATACCTTCATACACAATGCCTAATTTAATCCAAACCCTTTCTACAATAAAAGAATGGACTAATAGAAATTAATTCTATTTTGTATATTTTTCAAAACCCTAAATTTTTTAATCTTCTTCAATAACTTCTCATCAAACAACATCCATTCTCACCAATCTTCATCAAACTTTACTACTTATTCTAAAATCCACGACACAAATACGATAAATTTTAAATTTGCAAAAAAAAAATAAAAAATAAGAAGATATAATTTAGGTTGTTGGGGATATATTCTTATGTTTACATACGATATTGCATCATCACTACAAGAAAAAATCATTTTTGTAACAAAATATTTTTATCTCTAAATCTACTTTTTCCGTTACTAACGACATTAGAGACGGAAATAAGAATGAAATTACGTTAACTACGTGAACTTTAGGGACAGAATTCCGTTACAAATATATTATTTTTTGTAGTGCATGTTGAATGTCAAAGTAATACTCACCAATTAATTAAAGACATTGTAGTATAACAAACAAATTGACAAGGGTTTCCTCTGATCTGTGTCCACCAACAATCAATGTAAGAAATCTAAACAACTAGCAAATAGGAGACAACAACAACCAAACAATCAAACTCTCACGTGTCTATGTGTGTGTGTCAATGTTAATGTCAGTTTTGAACAACGGTAGAAACGAAATATTATCGAGCAAAAATCATAATCACAATAGAGCTATCGTCTAACAATTTTAAGGGTTGCTCGATCCATTGATGAAAGTCATATGATTCATTTATTTTTTCGAAGGCCTCCGGTTTCTGTATTTCTCATCCCTTATATCCTAATCTAATCCTCTCAACAACATTGTAGCATGGACATTGATTTCAAATGGGAAGTTGATTTCAAGCTATCAATCTCTTGCAACATGCATTTTCCTTGATTAATTCATAAATCTACTCCGGAAAATGGCGAGGTCGTGGCATTACTGAAACTATGCTTCTCGTATTATTTCTGTTAGAGTGCAAACGCAGTATGAACTCCACTTGTATGTAATTTTTTTAAAAATTTTAAAAATAAATTTATGTGATTTCGACCCAAAGACGATAATATCATATTAGTTTTGAATTAACCCAATCCTAACCGTTTTTATATATATTGTGGGATGATGCTTGTTACCTACTTTGTAAATCTATTTACAAAATTGCTAAAAGGAAAATCTTTATTTGAGTTATACTATTTGCTACTCCAAAATTTATAAACTTTAATTTCATTTGATTGATTAAAAAGTCTATGTATGTCTCCAACTAGATTATATTTCAACCAAGTTTGAGCCACATTGGCGTATGTTTTTTGGATATAATATAGCACTTACAAAGAGAGTTTCATGTCATCAACATGCTGACCTGTCACGCGGTCAATCAAATAATTCACTTATTCCGTTATCACAATTTAATGTAATACAGGAAAATTGATCGTCTCCACAGGAATTGTGTGATTCACTATTTCGCGTTCTAATGCAGTAAATAAATGGAGAAATTTTATTTTATTATCTAATGAAGACAAAATAACAAAACAATTAAATTAACGGAAAACTAGCTACCAAAGGAATGTCTGGCTTAAAGGATGATGCAATTATGACACTTGTTTTTATCATTGATTCAATAAAGTTAGTTCTTATTAAAGTATCAATAAATTAGTTATAGTTATCAATAAGCTCAAGCAACCAATTTTTCCTTACAGTGTAGGTAATTAAGAAACGCCAATTAACTACCCATAATTAAGCTAATAAACCTAGGTGTGCCAATAAGTAATATTGCCTAATCGCATTTCAATCTAGAAAAACCCCCGAGAAGGAACTATTCAACCCGGTTGTCACATATTCAAGTGCAAATACAATTACAGATATCCTACTTGAATTGACTTTAGATTATCAGACCAATTTAAATATCGGTACCAAAATATTCAATCAATATAACAATCACAATCATTATTTTCAGGATTAAACAAATATTGATAATAAAAAAAACTTTTATAAAGAAAATCAAGAATCTTCAAAACATAAGAACCAAAACATTGTCATTCCTCAAACCAAAAAATTATCTACTCCATAATCAAATAACAAAGAACGATAGAGAAAGATAAAGTCATAGTGGGAGGGGAAATCTTCTCTGTCGATTTGCTCCTGCGCGATCTATGAGTTTGTCAGTCTCCTGCTCTTGTGCGTATCTGCTCTGGTCGTTCTTCCCTCCTCCCTCTGCGTGTGATCATCTCTTTTTATTTAATTTTTGTCCTAATTATTTTATAGTATGGTTTTTGGGACTTTAATTAAATTTTTATGTCAAGAGGGTATAATTAGTCATGGCCATGACTAACTAGGTGGTGCAAATCTGAATTTTTCTTTACTTTTTCTGTTAATACTGTCAAATTTGATTTTTGCCCTTTGCACACCGCTAATAAACAATATGCATATAAATTAGGTAGAATCCAATCAAAATCAATCAAATATCGCATATGATATGAATATAAAACACATGCGATTTCTAACTATCTAATACATATACATATACACATACACATGTGAGGAAATGCAAAAGCATAAAGGGTGAGAGGTAGCTGATCTTTACAATATGAGTTCAACTATATTTAGTGAGCATAGATCAGATAGAACCATTACTGAATTGTTAAATGCATGCCTTATAGTATAATATTTTAATTTTTAATATTAAATTTAATAATTATTATAATTAGAAGTAATTATAATTTTACTGCATTCAACATTAGCTATTGAATTTAACACATGATCCATGTCGATATTTAATTACATGCTAAATTTAATTAAATATATATGTATATATTCTCAATTTTTTAACTCATTACGACTAGCAGATTGAAACAATAGGCATATATATATATATATATATATATTATTTTTTAAATTTATATTCTTGGTCATCGAATTTATTTGAACAATACTCCATATAAGAAAATACGATAATAAAATTAGCGAAAGGGAATAATCGAATAAACTCAATTTCTTATAATATCAAGCCGAAATTGAAATTAAACAAATTAATAAAAGCTAAATTTCTAGAAATTAAAATACGAATAGGGATTTTTTTTTTTTTTTATTCCCTTCCAATTCATCTTTAGGGGTTGTTTGTTTTTGTTTTAATCTCATTTCCACTTTAAGTATTTATCCTTGATTTGTTTAATTAATTTAATTTAATTTTAATTTTGATTAAGTATTATAATAATTTAGATTTATTTGATTATTTGCTTCCGCTACTAATTAAATTGTAATATGTTTATGAAGTATTGTTCAAATAAGCTCATTAATCCGAGATATAAGTTCACAACATCAGTATCAGAGCCCGGAAATCGATTCTAAAATGAAAAGAATTTTTTTGTCGAGTTTCGTATGACTCAACCCGTGGTAAAAAATCTAAACCCTCATCTCTTTATTTTTCGATATATTATTTTTTAGTGAAATTGTAATTTATAATTATTGAAAAATATTTGTGTTGATTAACTATGCATTTTTGGGTGATTAGTTATTATAATCTTGATATATGTTGTTATTTTGTTGTTACTATCGGTGAATTTCGTGGAATTATTTTTGAGATCCTTATATATTATTGGTGTAGTTCTTGGGTTATATTTGTTCTAGTCTTGTGAATTTGACTTGCTATAGTTAATTGTTGCAATGCATATTAAAATTTTTGTAAGTTAGATGTGCATATTTTAATTTTTTTAACGACATAGAAAATTGTATCAGTGAAATTTGCTTAAAAAGAATTGAAATCAGAAGATAATCAAAAATAAAATTGATTTTGTATCATTATGTGATTTCTTTGTGAATTAATTGAAATTCACATGTTAGCTTCTTGAATTTTTGTATGCTAGGTGGTTAGAATAGTTTTTATTCCTAAGTTCTTTGTGAAAATTAGAATGTCAAATTGTAAAAATCAAATTACATATTTTTTGAGAAATTAGTTCTTTTGAAAATAAGCATGAGTTGCTAAAAATTCAAACTAATTATAGAAAAATAGGAATACATTGATACATGTTTTTATATACATGTTTTTGTTTTTATGTGATGAATTGTATATATTTCTTGAGATCTTTATGATGATTTTTTTTATTATTATTTATTTGTCATTACGTGGATTATCTTTGTGATGTATTTTTTTCTAAGGGTATGTTCGTTTAGGGTGTGTTTGTTTGAGGGATTTGTTTGGATTTCCACTGTTCATCCTATTTTTTTTTCCCAAAAACATCAAATCAAACACCTATTTTTCATTTTTTATATTATACTAAAAATCAATTTTACGTTCAAAACATCATATCAACACCTATTTATATCACATCATACAACTATTCAAATTCAAAATTTTTACTATTCAAATCCCAACTCAAAATCCAAACCATCAAACAAACACACCCTTAGTGGATTGGATTTATAAAAGACTATAGAAGCACGGTACAAAATTTTAAATTGGAATCCCTACCATACTACCCTATATCATATTCTACAAGTCTTTGAGTTAAGGTCAAATCTATTCATTGTAATTAATGTGATTTGACTTTTTAATGCCATGAAAAATTCACAGTACCACGGAAGAAATAAGAATGGTGTAATCCAACAAATAAAAATATATATATATATATTTATATAAATATGTTTGTTTGAGAATTTAAATTTTTTTGTTGGGATTTAAATAATAAAAATAATTAATTTAAATAGTGGTATAATGTAATATAAATGGATATTGACGTGATATTTTGAATATAAATTAATTTTAGTATATTTAAAAATAAAAAATAAATATTTTGATTTGATATTTTTAGAGAATAAAATTTAAATGAATAGTAAAAATTTAGAAAAATTTGATAAAAAAAATACAAAAGAAATAAAAGAAACCAAAAATAATAATTTTGTAAAATTTAATTTTAAATTTAATTCATAAATATCAAATCAAAATGAGTTAGAGAAACTATTGATTTTGAGAAAATGAGCTAGGTACAAATCAAATTACTAAAGCCTATCCAATCTCAAGAGAAGAATTTAATATGATCAAAATGAATCAACTGGTGCAAAATATAGTTAGGTTGTGTTCGTTTGACTTATTTTTACCTGATTTTACTGTTGAAATACCGTACAAAATTCAAATTAAAAATTCTACCCCTATAACCTAGGCATGTTTCTAGATCGTAGGTTTCCTTTCGCCTTCCCTGTAAGCAGAAGTTGTCGCGAGAATTACCTTTCTACTCCACCTCTCCTCTGATCTGATTGACGGACTGGATGATAGGTGAGGCAATAAATAATCACCATTCTTATTACGATATCTCGTAAAATAAAAATAAAAATAATAATAATATCTCCAAAAAAAAATTTAAAAAAAATATAACTTTATCCTTTTATTTTATTTTTAGTTTATCTAATTTCTTCTTGCCAATTTAAGTTTATTTCAACATTATTTTATATTCAACTTCTAAAATAAAAAATAACCTAGAGACTCTGTTATTAAAGTCGTCCAAACTGTAGAATTTAGTCGGACGACAAACGGATTTTGTGGACCACCGCTAAATTTGGGATATGAAATAATAAGAGTTTGTTTCTTTTCTAAAAAAAATAAATTTCTAACATACTTTTTCAAAAATATATAATTCTTCGGTTCCAAACATCGTGCAATATTTGTATTTGACACAAAAATTTAGGTGGGGAAATATTAAATATGGTGATTTAAGATCATTTGACATTAAGTGATGTGATTAGAGAGAGAAATGATTATTTTTTTTTTATTTGAATAATGTGATGAGATAAAGTTGAGTGTATATTAATATATGTATATATATTAGTAATTATTTTTAAATTTGAAAATGTTGCAGTGAGTTTGTAAAAAAAAATGAGAAGGTATTATATATATATATATATACATACATTCATTGTTTTGATACTTTTTATACATATACAATTTCTTATACTCATATAAAAAATAAAAAAATTTTAAAATCAAAACACAAAACAACACACCTTAAAATTTTGAATTAAAATAATTATTTAAAACAATATAAAAATAATGATAAAATATTTTTAAATTAAAATTATTTTTTAAATTTTAATATAATATTAAAGATAAATATTTAATTTTATACTTTTTTAAAAAAATATATATATACTATAATAAACTTTTTATAAGAAAAATCCAAAACAAACGCATTAGATTTTATGGTTTTCATCAATTCAAACGCAAGATTTGTGCCGTATGTCAAAACCTACTCTTTCAGATCCAAACGCATCTATTACTATTAGCGGCGGGCGGGTCAGGGTCAGGGTCAGGGTCGGGCCAGCCCGCGCCGATTGTCATCCCTAGCCTACCTTACTCCTTTCCTCAATCGCTGCTGCTGCTGCTACTGCATTCCTCCTCTTCGTCCAGTTCGTCGCCGCCGTCTACGTCTACCTTCTCACTTCCTTCCGCCGTAATATCATCCTTCCCGCCGCTCATCTTCGTCGCATATCAGCGCCTAGCCGCCATCACTGTTGCCTCCACTCAATTTGGGCTCGTCGCCTTCGTAACCGCCCGTCGTTGTCCGCCGTATCTTCGCGCTGAATTCGTCGCCGTCCGCCCTCACCATTTCTGCAGCTTCGCTTAATCTTCAGTCGCCGTCTACTTCAGTCGCCCTAATCGCTGGCCTCAATTTCCACCGTCCTCAGCTGCCCTGGCCCAATTGATTTTACTCAGCAGCATCTTCTCCGTCTATCAGTCGTTGACAGCCGCCGGGCCTGCATTTTTCTAAAGTAAGTTTCCAATTTGACCAATTTTACTACAATTATAACGGATGTGTGTAAATTTTTGTAGGGATATTCAATTTCAACCGAAGACATAAAATTTTCAGTATCTCTGAAACCTCCACCCCCAACCCCCCTTTTTTATGGAGAAAAAAAAAAAAAAACCTTTCTTTGAACATATTTTAATTAATGTTTTTACAGTAGAACAAGCATTTTAGAACTATGGGTGTTAGTTCGCTTTATTTATTTATTTATTTTGTGATTGATTTCATGTTTTCCTCAAGTGATTATATTCATTTTGTTGGGTTAACACTTGTATGTAGGAAGTGGTTGACTTGAGAATCTTATTTGTTCTTTAGTGAAGTCGAATGAAAAAAATGTACTGAGCTACTTGAGAATCTTATTTGTTCCTTAGTGAATTCGAATGAAAAAATTTACTGGGCTTAACAATCTTTTTAGCCTAAGTGAGCACTTTGATCCTATTTAAGCATTGCATGATGCAAATTTCTTTTTCTTTTTCTTTTTCTTTTCTATTTTTTTTATGTTTTATTATTATTTTATATTATTTTATTTTATTTGTGTGTGTAATGTTGAACTGAACTTGAATTTTAAAACTTGCGGGAAGATGCATGTTGAAATACATTTGAGGATTTAATACAATTAAAATGATGAGGGCCATTAGGGACACCCCATAAACTTATATTAACCTATTGTAATATGTATTGAGACCTTTCTTTCTGATCTGATCACCAACTCTTTAGCATATAACTTTTCTTCGCTTAAGCCTCATTTTGAGAATCTTTAAATGCTATGCTTTTATACCTACTGAAATTGAAATGGAAGAAAAAAAGAGAATCAAAGAATGAAGGTAGAAATGGTCTAGTAATCCATAGAAACTTGCGACAACTAGATCTTATATGTCATCATTTCTAAGACTGTTTTTGCATCGCTCATTTGATAAGTCTGATATTTTTTGGTTCTTTTCACCATTCTTTATCCGTTCATTTTATTTTTTTTCTTTTCCAATCTTGTAAATTCCCGGCCGAACCTAAAAGCCGGCATCGTTTTATTTTTTCTTAATTGTGCTGATGGTGGTTTAACAAATTTTTCTGAAAGGTGGGAGCCATGAGCAGCATCGAACCATTTAACCGGTACTTTCATTGTCGTGCTTTTGTTTTTTTGTTATTTGTGTTGCATATCAAACCAACCAAGTGTTTCTAATGCTACTTTTTTCTTTGTTCTTGGATAACAGTCTGGTGAAACTTGCAGCAAGGGCTTTTTATGATGACATAACTACAAAAGGTGAAAACCAGCCCAAGAATGGAAGAGGCGACAACAGAGGGATTGCCGTGGTGGTTCTTGATGCTCTTACTAGGTGATTTTCCCCCCTTCAAGATTAAACAAGTAAAAATTTAAATTTGATGGGCGGTATATGGTTTATTTATTATATTAATTCGTATTGGCATTATCATACTGGTATGGTTGTTTTAGCTCATTTTGTGCATCTTTTTTAATTATATATAGTTTGTTTTTATTTAAAACCCCTTATTACAGTTCAACATAATTTATTATATGTGGTGTTTATTTAGGTATTTCAGACACAAGTGATTCCATGGCCATAAGTCTATTGATTCTTTAAGTGGAGTGTTTTGGTTTTAGTTTTCCAATTTGAAGAATGTTTTAAGATCAACCTTGTCATTAACTTGATCAATTCAATACTATGTGTGGGTACTACATTATTTTCTTTTCGGGGAAACAGTGGCGAACTGAACTTAGTTTGGAACATTTTATTCTGTTCTTTTTGTGCAGGCGGCAATGGGTGAGGGAAGAAGATTTGGCTAAAGATTTGAAGCTTCATACCAAGCAACTTCGTCGGACTCTCAGGTTCTTTGAAGAAGAAAAATTAGTGGCTCGTGATCACCGGAAGGAGGTTAGCTATGCTGTTTATTGTTTTGGGCCTGTGTGATGATACATTTCAATACTTATGTACTCCTCTTCTCTAATCCTTTTTTACCCTACCTCCCTGTTTCTGTGGTTTTCAAGTCATGCAATGTTACCCCTATCAGTTCTTGGCGTCCTTATGATCAGTTTGGGTTAGGAATGGCCATTATGGGTATTTTCTATCTAGAATATTGTGTCTTCCCTGGAATGTAACGGTTTCACATTACTTGCATAAATGCAAGATTTACTTGTGCTATTTTGCAAATATTTTTGAGTGTCCTTTGCAGTTATCAATCTAGATTATGACTCATGACCCATAATGAACATTCTATATTACACTGCTTGCACAAACATAACTTATATATGAATTAGCTACTAACGTATCTGTCATTAGAATCTTATTAGTCTGAATTTGGCTTACACTTCAAGTGTTACTTTACTTTGTGATGCCATTTTGTTTCAGTATTGCTGTATTATATTTTGCTTCTTGTCTTTTTCAGACTGCAAAAGGTGCAAAAATGCACAATGCTGCAGTGGCTGCCACTGGTGATGGTCCACAAACTGGAAGAGAAGGCGAGGAGAAACTCAAGATGCATACTCACTCATATTGTTGTCTAGACTATGCACAGGTTTTAGCTTCCCCAATTGCCATGCTAAAATATATTACTTTGGAATGGCTTATCATATGTGCATATTATATGGAAATCCTGTTAATTTGATAGGTATATCTGCATATCAAATAAGTATGTGTGGAAGCACTTATGAAAAGCAGCTAACCGGTTAAAATATGCCTCACATGGTAGTGGTGAAGAAAATCTGTTTATTATAATATCAAGAAATTAAGGATTTGTTTGCTTAAGTTTTTTTTCCCCTGTGTCTTACTATTCTATCTCCAAAATTCCCTTTAAAAACATTACATTAAACACATATTTTCAATTCATAACATAGCATTCAACCATTATCTCCCCCCAAAACCATTTAAAAAAAAAAGTAAACTATTCCTAAAGCCTATGTTGAAAGCATTGGAAAGGAAAAGTGGAGTGGGGGTGGGGGGGGGGGGGGGTGTTGAGGGGGTGAAAAAGTGTTGTTCGAAGAAAGATATAGAAGTTTTCATCTAGGAAATATACTCAACTCCTTCAAATCTTTATTCCTGGATCATATGCTTTGAGGTTAAGACATGGAATTGTTGGTCATGTGATCAGTGAGAGAGCATAAATATATCCATTGGAGATCAATCATGGTCCCATAGTTAGGACTTTTTGGTGTTTCTGAACTTCGAATTTCTGGGAAGTTTATTGGCTTGGGTAGGATGGTTTTAGTATTGAATAATTCTATATTCTGTTTGTGTTCATCACACAGAGATATACTTCCTAGCTAGATTGAAGATGTTAGATTTATCTGCTTTAATTAATTATACCATTCTATTCATGTATTTGCAGATATATGATGTTGTGAGATATAGATTACATCGAATGAAGAAAAAACTGAAGGATGAATTGGAGAGCAAAAATACAGTTCAGGAGTATATATGCCCCAATTGCAGTAAGAGGTATATGCTGTAAATAGATCTTTTTTATTTGGTTTTTTTTTTTTGTAAGGTTTATTGATTGGCTGATTAAAAGGTTCTGATTATCAATTTCAACGAACTTTCAGATATACCGCTCTTGATGCACTCCGGTTGGTTACTCCATATGATGAATACTTCCACTGTGAAAGCTGCAATGGGATCCTTGTGGCTGAAAGTGACAAGTTTGCTGCTCAAGAGTTAGGAGATGGAGATGATAATGCAAGAAGGCGTCGCCATGAAAAGTTAAAGGACATGCTGAAAACTATGGAGGTTTGTACTCTTTGCTGTTCAAGATGTTTTTGGTTTCTTTACATAATCCTGCAATTCTGTAGTGTCATGTTTTGAGAAAAGGGCTCACATTAAAGTTCTAACATCATTATTATTTCTTATTTGTAAAAGAAGTCATCTCCCCTTTGATACGAAGGTTGAGTAGTATTGTAGTAAGTCATTTCTCTCTTTTTTACCCCTGATTTGTAACTATGGTTCAATATTTAATTTATTTGAACCAAGGGGCATTCTGAAATTATTTCATCTGAATATATGTATGCATACCCACATATGATTATGACTCAAAACTCTGCCTGTTAATTCTTTCACCTCTGATATCATCTGGTAGCTTCCCCACCCCAAAGACTCAATTTTTTCCATTATGTATTTCTTTTGTTGCCTGAACTGTAAATTTATAAGTAACTTGTATTTATAGCGTGTCATCGTGGTTCAATGACTTGTTGGCATTCTCTTTTTGGAGGAAGCAAATAAACCTGGCATCTATAAGGGAATGGAATTTATACTTCATTAACAATTAAAGATAGATTAAGCCAAAATTAGAAGGATAAGGAATTAAAAGATCCAATTGATACTTGATGTTTCATGGTTATGTTTCCAATGATGGTATGGATAGGCTTTTAAATTGAGGAGTTAAGGATTTGATTGGTTTTTCTCATATATGTCTGGTGCTCTACTACTATAAGTAGGTTAAACTGCTTTGTATTGTGAATTGTGTGATACACAGTAACCATAATGCATTATGCTGTGGAATATCAAATTGTATTTTTCATTATATGTGTAATTATTTGTAACTTAGTTTCTGCTCAATTACCATTCTAATAACTTGAGCTTATCGAAATGGCATGAAGAAACAATAGATGGAAAATTTTTGTCTATATGTTCGAAGATTGAGCATGTCTTGGATCTCAATATCCATGGAACTCATTTACGAGAAGCTTCATAAGGAATCTCGTGTATACTTGATAGGCATGTAAATACCATGTTCAAGTATTTACCTAAAGGCAAATATAGTGTGTGGAATTTTATATATCAATGCCCAAAATTGAATATACTCTTTCTATTTGTTCAATTACAGGAACAGCTCAAGCCATTAATGGACCAACTTGCAAGAGTCAAGGATTTACCTGTTCCCGAATTTGGTAGTCTTCAAGCATGGGAACTTAGAGCAAGTGCAGCCAACCGAGCTGCCAATGGAGACCTCAATGCCAATGACCCTTCAAAATCTTCTAATGGCCTTGGCTTTGGTGGAACTCCCATGCCCTATGTTGGAGAGACAAAGGTTACTGCTTCTACATTTCACTGCTTGCTAAGCTTTTGTTTTCTTCCACTTTTGCGTCCAAATAGTCGGCGTATGCATATATTTTTTCCTGCTGAGGATAATTTTCTTGGGATGTTTTATTGCATATGTATATAGATTTCACATACTTGTTTAGTTGTGTTTTGAAAGTATTTGGGTGTCTTGGGAATAATTTAAATTTGAATGAAAAATATATATTGGATTTGGTGTTTTAAATGGAAAATAGATGTTGGATCCTATGTTTAAATAGCTAATATATTTTTTTATGTAACATTTTAAATGAAAATTAGACATTAAATGGTACGTCTTTTTAAAGGGAAAAATTTTGTGAGTAGTACGAAAATGAATTTAAAATACAAGTAAACAAACTATTTGCATGGTTAATCACTATGGGTGTGCTTGTTTGGGGGTTTAAATTTTGAATTAGGATTTGAATTGAATAATTGTATGATGAGATAAAAATAGATATTGATGCGATGTTTTGAATGTAAAATTAATTTTTAGTACAATATAAAAAATAAAAAATAGATATTTGATTTGATATTTTTGGGGAAATTTTTTTTGATGAATAGTAAACTTTTGCAAAATCCCATAAACGAACACACTCCATATATTTATGTAAATATTATATCGGTTTCCAGAGCTGTGTGCTGTGTGTTTGTGCTGTAAATAGATTATATAGTAGTGAGACTATTGAAGAATGAAAAGGTAATCTTAGATAGCAATATTCAGCAGCATGAGCTACTTACCTAATAATTTGTCGTTTTCTTAACTTTGTGATTATTAGAACTGTTTGGATGAGAACTTAGACCTTGGGATGGACAGGTTGAGGTTGCTTTCACAGGTATTGATGATAAAGGAGAAAGTGTTAAAACTGCGAGTGCAAATGCACCTATGAAAGTTTTGCCTCCATGGATGATAAAAGAAGGAATGAACCTTACAAGAGAGCAACGTGGGGAAGCCAAGGCAGAGTCGAAGACTGGCGGTAATTTGACAGCTTCTGGAAATTTTGATGACAAAAAATCCACCACTGCAAACGAGGATGAAAAGAACATACAGGTTTTTCAAACCAATTTTTTTTTTTTTTTTCGTCTCCATATTTCTCTTTAGATGAGTTGAATTTGCGCTATAGCGTTAGCGTCTATTATATTAATATAAACTGTTGTCATATTTTGACTCTAGGATGAATACATCAAAGCATATTATGCTGCTCTACTTAAGCGCCAACAGGAGCAAGAAGAATCAGTCAAGAAGGAAGAAGAGTCGACTAACGCTACAATCTCCCATGGAAACCTAACTGCTGAACGCCAAGTTGGCATGAAGTCAAAACGAGATGATTATGAGGGAGATAATGCTGAGTGGGAGGAGCCCCCTCCAACAGGTAAATACTATGTTTTATTAATTTTTCCAGCTGCTTATTTCAAACTGAAATCAAAATGAAGATAGGCCATAAAAGAAAAATTGGATTGGCATTTGGTAATGAGTATAAATTGCACATACCTCAGGTGGCGCAACCGGGTATTATAAAGTTGGCGACTTAAATATGGAAGCTGAAGTTTCCGAAGAGGAAGAAGACATCGACTGGGAAGAAGGCTGAATGCTCAACTACAGCACGACTCTCCTGCCATTAGAACTAATTCAGTGATAGTGTGACTATAACCGGTGTAGAATATCTAGTGTTGTAACGACTACTGTTAGGGTGTGCATGTTTATGTACTGGACTTCACTGTAAATGGCATCTCTATGCTTATGTGTTGTAGTGTGTATTGCTCTGTTTATATGGTAGTGAAATCATGTGGAAGAAAACTAGGACACCTTATGTGACAATGAAATCTTAGTTGCAGCAAACATTTGTTGGAGTTCTATGTAAAACCAAGCAATGTCCACACTGCTAAAAATAAATATTGGAATATATTGGCATATAATTCCTCTTAAGAACAAACAATTGGTGACCATTGTTTTATCTGAAGGATTTATCAATACCCTCTGTAATTTTAGCATTCATGTCATACCCCCTGGGATTGAGATTAGTTAATAGATTGATTACACTACTTATTTTAACCATATGGATTCCAAATCTTTCGTCGGATGAGCCTTATTCATTTCTGCTTTAGAGTTTGCTTTAGAAAGAACTCTAGACTTACACATACTTGTTAGTTTACAAGCTTGAACTACATATCTGACTTGCTAGCATTATTTACCAGGAAACAACTATTTTGCTAGTCTTATTTACCAGGAAAGAAGATTAATATTACAAACACAAACAAATTTGAACAAAGTACCATATACATACCTCACCGTTTTGACAAGGCAGCCGGCACCTATCCTTACAGAGCAGGCATAATATCCTTCAAATTGCAGCTACCATAAATAATACTCCCTCCGTCCCAAACACCCTGCAACATTTCTTATACTCTGCAATATTTTCAAAATATGAAATAATTATACTTAATTTCTACCTCACACTATCTCATCACATCACCCAAATAAAAAAATAAAATATATACTTTTCTTTCCACCATATCACTTAATTTCAAAATTATCATACCTAATACTACCCACCGCCGAAATCAAATGTTGCACTTTGTTTGATACGGAGGGAGTACATACACAAAAAGAGTATATAAAAACAGAAATCTAATGTTGCAAATTTGAAGCAATCATGTTTTAATCTTCTTTGTGCCAATTTCCATCAGCAGATCATTTAACAGTTGACTACACTTCAGAACTTGCACAATAAAATTTGGTTACAGCGCACTGTTTCCAATAGAAACAAAAAATTCAAAAACTGATAAAAACAACACCAACGAGACCAAAAGCTTATGAAGAAGATGATGCCAGTCAAGTTCAGAAATCCCACTCTCCATCATGTTTCACTACATGTTTATTCCAATTGTAGACTAACACATCTAAAAGAATGACATTTTAGTGTTTAAGAAAAAAAGTGACTTCCCTAGAAAACACATATAAGTTGTAACTGATGAAAACAGCACTGAATGATGTGACTATTCTAAATATTGCACGCCTACAAACTAAAGAATAAAAACAGGTGCTATTTATTAACAAGCATTTGAAAGACGGAAACAATGCTCACATTGAGGAGGCTTTCTGCAAGTGTATATGAAACAAGAGAATTGCAGCAGATCATGGGATACTAAGTTGACATTATTTCAAATGTCTTCAAACAAGTCAATACATGGAGAACAATTAATCTCTAATACTATTCAATCTTCCCCTTATTTTTCCACTATAACACAATATTCACACAAGGTACTCTAAATGTATTGGCCATAGATGTTATAACATCCAACTTCTCAAGAATAATTGAATTATTGATTGAACTGAAGTAAGTTTAGATTTCGAGATAAAAAAACACCCAACTGCAACAATAGATACAAAAGGGATCCCAACATCTATTGGGATCACAATGAATGAGCATCTCCTTATGCCATAAGGTTCTTTTCCATCAAATTGCACACCAGATAAGCATACCTCAAATAGTAACACAACAGTTCATAACAATATGGATCACTATTAAGCAGCAACTTATTATTGCAAATGGCCGTAATTTTGCAGTTCTCCATACCAATTGTTCATAGAGCACAATTACATCAGGGTATGCCAAATGCAATGAATACCAAACAGAACAAACATCTAAGATACACAACATACAATGACTAATCCACAAAACTCGCATAATCTGCACTTGACATAATTTCCCAATATAAATGAATCCAAACAATCAATAATAATTCATCTTATCTAATTACCTACTATTCTGATTAGCCACTAGATAAACTAGCTATATCTCTAATACCATTTAAATATCCAGCTATATTCTACAGTGTTCCGTGTGGATTCAGACAATATTGAGCATGATATAACTTACAAGATATATATGCAAACAGTATTTCTTGGCCATATTATCCCATCATACAATAATACATAAATAAGTAACTCGTCCACAGCACATTCTCGAGTGCTCTAAGCTCTTCTATTAAACACAAAGTAGTTACAGTCTGTATTTAGTTGATATACCACATTACAATTTGAGTGATTAATTGCATTTCTGAATCAAAATATCGCATGCAATACACTTAATTTCTGGTAACTCAAAAGGTGAAAGAGTAACTGTTCATATATATTTAAATATGAGCTGCTAAAGAATGATTGTCAAACATATTTAGATCAAGTCATCACAACATTCAATTTTAAATATGTAAGGCAAACTGAATTTATCTTTTCTAGAAATTATTGTTCTACTTTGACACCTTACTAAAATACCAAAAGTATGAAAATCAATAATAAGATTCTTAATTTTTACTATCAGAATAGGAAAATATGAAATGATGAACTTTACAATGACAACAATCAATCAACACCACCAATTATTTCTATTGCCATAAATAAAACAACAATTATAGTATAAAATTAAAAAAAAAAAATGGATATCCCTTTTTGAGCAGTTATTCATACTACTTATGTAGATCTAAAACTCTTCAATTCATACAAAAGAAAAGAACAAACAACTGACAGAAACAGAAGAACAAGACTTCCCAAAACACAAATCAAGAATAAGAATTGCTTATACCTCACCGAAGGAACTCACAGATAAGTCACACCTCCAAAACAAAATAAAATCTAGAGAGATTTGGACAAAAACCGATCTGTATCAACAAATCTTAATAAAACAAGAATACAAAATGCAATAAAGGGAGAGCGGAAGAGATAGCAAATGTGGCGACGTGAAAATTAGGGTTTCTCTATTTATAAGGGTTGTGGCGGTGATAGGGAATGCAGATGTAAGCATTACGGATTCTAGACACTTCTAATACAAGATGGCGTAATTGCTACCGCCAAACGGTGCCGTGTGCGGATACAGCACTATGCCACTTCAGTGTTGCACAAAAATCTTTGCTGACATGGTGCACCACGGACAGTTCGTGAACATGCTATAACAATGTATGGCTCAAGCTAGCAATATAGATATAAATATATATATATATATTCATCTTGCAAAAATTAATCAACAATGATAAGTTAATTTTCATACTTAACAATAAATATGTGCATAATTTTAAGTATTGCCATAAATGCTAAGAAAATATGTGCATTATCTTAAGAGTTTGATCATAAACTGTAATCATCAAATTTAATATATTCACCATCTTCTTTGTCATCAATATCTTCTTCATCTTCTTTGTTTCAAATCTTCAAAAAAATGTCTTCGTCAATCATTTCATAAATCAATCAACTTGGATGATGACACTTTTCTCTGTTTTGTTGATTAAATACACAATAATATTAAAACATATCACACCCAACAATTAATCGATTGATGGAAGGCAACTTATCAAGTAAGTAGTAACACTGTTATGACTTTGGTTATAAATCTGACAATCCAATTCCTTTTCTCTAACTGAGGAAGTGCTTTGTTATTTACTTAAAAAGTAAAATTATGTTGAGTGCAAGTAAAATTATGTTCACAATCCAATGCTTCCAAGAAACAAGCACAAGATGTTGCCGTGGCCTGCATTATTCACAACTATAAATGAGAGTAGCTTAGACGAGCATCATTTAGGTTAACATTTTTGTTTACATACTAAATCGTTTTTAAAACATGATTTAAGCTCTCTTATTGCATATTAACAGAATCATTCTCCATTTCTATCCTTTCTTTAGCTCTATGTAGCATATATTTACTGCAGAGGTACAACAGATTCAAAAGCAACAGTCATAAAAAGAGAGGTTTCAATCTGATAAAATTTTTGAAGAATTAGCATGCTTGTCTTTTGAAAAACTTCTATACAAAAGTACAACTTATGGTTAACACTATCAATGGGTTGCTTTTCAACTCTGCATCACAGTGAATAATATAATCTAATTAAACTAATAAACATACTAATTCACAGAATAGCTCCAAGTTAGCAAGCCATCACTATTCTAGGGTAAATAGTTATGTTGGTTGTAGTTCAATGATATACCTCAGTATCCAAATGTCAAATGAAAGATTCATAAGCACAACCTATTTCCTATTCCTAACATCTTCATCAGCTCCTTCTGAGTTCTGACCTTTAACTTTAGTGAACTTATCATATATGATACTCTTAGCAAATAGTGCAGGAAGATTACTATGTAGGATTAAGAAAAGTTTAACTGTTTTAAGAAAAAGATGGAACATAAAATGTACTATAAAATAAACAGATGCATTATATAAACTCAACAGGAAATGCAAGTTGCGAATTTCATTTTACAAATGAAATGAATCAAGTTTTGAGAACAATAAAAAGAGGTTGCAACTTGCAAATGCCTAGTTTGAGTTAAACAGAAAATTCTTAAAATTGTGAACGGCATAATGAAGATTCATCATCTTTATTTCTTCTAATTGTCGAAACCAAAAACAACATGACACCATGACCTCTGATGCAAAGAGCTCATGCTACAATAGATAGATTAGACTTACATGCCCAAAGCTTGTTTTAGCAATAGCAATAGAAACTACCTTGGTCTATATATTCAATTACAAGAGAAACAAACATGATTCACACGTATTATCAACTTCTCACCTTCAGAATATTGGAAGAATATTTCGTAGTCTACACTGATTACCCAAGGCACCATGTTATCTTATCCAAGAAAAGAATAGCATAAACATAACTGCTCCGGGCCCTCACAAGATAACCAGAGAAATGCCTAGGTTCGTATCTGAACTAGGTGGCAAACTACTCTTCCTCTTCCCATGGTATACCTACTTCCATCCAAAGAATGATTATGATGATCTCATAAAAGGATTGCTCGACTAAGTAGATCCCATAGAAATATGATGTCAGAATGTACCTGCTCTATAATTTAGCAGTCTCCATGTCCAGAATGTATAACCATAGTGTTTCCATGCTAAGCAAAATTTTCTGTAACTACAGATCAAAATCAGAAAACTCTACATAATAATACCTCATACTTTTTTAATAATGTTACAATATTAGCCTTCTATGAAAAAACAAAATGGCTCATTGTAATTTATGGCCACTTGTAAATGAGTAGTTCCGAGCGAATGAATTAGGGCAGTGAAAGAAAACTCCCAACATATACCAAAGATCAATTTGCAAAGGAATCCAACCATAGGGGAAAATGCATAACCAAAAATTCCAATCAGTATAGTATGAGATTTTCAAAGACAAGTTCCATTATTCTCTTCCATGTCATATAGAAACGACTGCAGTAAATAAACTGTTAGATGTGAAAAGGAATTCAGTGATAAATGACAAGGCAGTTCTTTAGGATTAACTGTCGTACATCTAGGCACCCAAGGGAACTCTCCAAAATTGAAATACTACAAAACCAAATTGCTGCCATCTTCCCAAAAATCTCACTTCTGACATACAGTAGGTATACGCTAGAACAGCAGATTGGAAAGTAACAAACATCAAAGTTCGACGCTTTTAAACATCGCCTTCACTTTCCATTAATTCCTTCGGCTGCACATTTTACATCACAAGCCAAATGATCCTAAATCTACCACATTTTAACTGAAATGTTTTTCTGCGGGATCCAGATCAACAGGGAACAAGCCCGTCAAGATATTCATCAAACAATTGGCGAACACAGATATCACATTGAGAGATTGCGACAAATACCCATCCACCGGCGCCACAATCTCCTCCTCCCTCGCACCCAACAAGATCAGCGGAATACTTAACAATAGAGATCAAAGCAATAAAGGACTCTGGCCCAGTAAAGATCCTTATTGGGTAGTCTAGCGGGCCCATCCGAATCATTGTGGGCCCAATACAATTTTTTTAATGAAAAAATATTAATTAACATAAAATCAGATCAAATTTTATTGTTGATATGAAATGAAAATACATATACTTCCTCCTTCGTCCGGTTCATTTCTCCGTTATTTTTATTTTTATTTTCGTTTATCCCACATGTTTTGTCATTTTCTTTCTTCAAATACAATTATATATTTTAATCTCAATTTAAAATTTTCAACTTATAAATTTTTTATTTTAATTAAACTATCTAGTCATTTTAATCTTAATTTATAATTATTTTTATTAAATTATAATTATTTTACTAATATATTTTTTAATTACTCACTAATTACATAATACCTAAGATTCTGTGCCTAATTTAAATGAGACAAATTTTAAATTACAATTATGTGCATGTTTCAATATCAGCACATAAACACAGCACCATGTAATATAATTATTCTTTTTTTTTTTGGTAAATAATCATATGGGTGTTTTTGTTGGAATTTGAATTTTGAGTTGAGATTTAAATCGAAAAATTTTTGAATTGTAATAATTGTAAGATAATATAAATAAATATTAATGTGATATTTTGAAAGTAAAATTAATTTTAAGTATAATATTAACAAACACACTCATAGTAACAACTAATATAAGAAATAATTTTATTATTTTTACTTTACTCAATAATAATTAATTTACTACAAATGTCTACTATTTATTTATTTATATTTTTTTAATTGAAGAGGGAGGATATTTAAAAAATGTCCCATCACTAATTTCTTTCTTCTTTCTTTCTTCAAAGTATGAAAAATCAAACTACAATCCACGTGTTTTCTATCACATTTACTAATCATACTAAAGAGTTTGAGTTCACTCTATTTCCTACTCTACGATTAATTAATTATACACATCAAATAAATATATAATAATATAGTAATACTCTACTATCTCAAATTTCCAGCTGCCCGTTTTCTGGTTACCCTAATGTAGCAATAAACAGCTGCAAAAATGGCGGTGACGAGCCCGCCGATGATGACTCCTCCGCCCGCCACAGACTTGTCCGACGAGTGGTGCCTCTCCGACTCCGACGGGGCCTCCGCCTCTCTTTCTCTTCCCTCGTCGTCGGACTTTTCTGCAGACAACGGCGGCTCCCTCTCCCCCGGCGGATCTGCCGCTTCTTCTCCGGCCGGTTCCGGATCTTGGACCAGAGCCCGAATCCTTGAAGCTAACGTGTCGGATTTCGAGAATGGATCGACCCGGGCGTGAATTGTGAGGAACAGAGCGAACAGAGTGCAGAAAGCGAGCAAGATTTTCTTGCCCATAAGGTGTTCGACGAAATGCTTCAAGGGGACTGCAGGGAAGAGAGGATTTGTGGATCTGTAGTTGTTTGTTTGATATGTTAATGGTGTTTGGGTGAAGAGAATGAATTTATGGTGCGATACTGAGAGGTATTTGGTGATGGTAATGGCTGTATTTATAGAGGAAAGAGAGTGGCCATTTGGATGAATCGCGTATCTCAATTTTCATGCCTGTTGGGGAAGGAGATGAGTTGGAGTGGGTTGGGCTTGGGCTTCGAAGATCCAGGGACTTCAGGTCCCCAGTGATGGCACAACGACACGTGGATACAGGCAGGATCTTGGAAGGGCCAGTTGTAGTGTAGTGTCCGTTTACATGTTAAGAAATTCGTGTGGCTTGAAACTCGAGAGAAGCTTCACGAGTTGACTCGATCTGACTGCTCCGCTGTAATCATTTTTCTTTCAATTATTATGCTATGTTAAGAATTATTTTTTTTATTTTTGAAATTTCTTAAGAAAATATTTTTTTTTGTCAACTAAATCTATTTTATTTATTTATTTATTTATTGTTATTTAAATTTATTCCTATTTTATAATTACAATTTTTTCTAATTTTTTATATAAAAAAAAGTTATTTTTATTTTTTTTTTTTAAATTTGTGTCCGGTTAAATAAACAGACAATTGGATGACGGAAGAAGTATTATTTGATATCTTAGAGACATAAAATTCAACTGGAGCTGAAAATATACTCCGTATGTCCTGACTAATTTGTCTCAGTTACCTTAGCACAAAATTTTAAGTATTGTGTA